CCCAAAACATTGGGGGGTTAACCGCAAAGTGCGGCCTCCCCGTCGTCTAATCCAACCTCGAGTTAAATGGTTTTACAAGTGTAAAGCGGGGATTATCCCAATTCGTTTGTGACCACGATTTATCGAATTTGCGGTAAAGAGGAATCTGATTCCCTAGAACGAAAACGTTTCAAGAAAAAAACCTGATATTTCTTGTTTCCTACCTTTTTACACTCAACATTCCAATACATATTATTCAAACAATTTGTCTCGCTCCTCTTTTCCATTACCTTGCACTTGCAATTTCTACATCGATTTCGTTACATAACTTTTTGCAGATACTTAATTTTCATATTACTTTCCTCACATATTTCCTCAATATTCATATCATTTTTTTGTTAATCAATATTCCTTTCAAATATTACCCAATTGATTTGGAACATTGCGTCAATGTGTAAACTGCGATGATTATATATTTGAAAATGTCTGTGTACATTTAAATTTATAGATGTACAATTGAAATTGAAACCCGGTCGACACACAAAGGCTTTTAATCATAAAGAGCAGCGCCGTTCGGCTTTACTATCGGGGCGATTAAATTAATGGCGTTCGCTAATGCTAATGTATTCATGCAGCGGCGGCGGTCGATCATCGCGGATGCAAACGAACGCGTTATTAGATAATCAATTAAATTTCATCCAGAATGCATCCGCAGGGAGGAGGAGGAGGAGGAGGTGGACGGGTCGAGCGTATTCGCTCTTCTCGACCGACGTTAACTGGCTAAATGGTTTTACAAGTGTAAAGCTTGGGATTATCATAATTGGAAACGAGATTTTCAATTTTCAATCCTTCTCTCTTTCTCGGTGTGTATGTGTGTGTGTGTGTGTTGTTGCCCCTTTCCTTCGATTTAATGAATTTGCGGCGCGGTCGAAAGAAAACGTAAAGATGCGGTGTGTACGTGAGGATGAGAGAGAGTGAGATCGAGTGAAAAGGTTCGAAAAGTAGGTAAATTACTTAAATCGTTAATCTTGTATCGTCTCGTCCCTGTCGCACACAGTCACTTGGTGCTTGTTGTGGGGGTATTTAAATGCCGCACCTGAACAAAGAACTTGGGCGACTCTCGTATTATAATGTGTTTAACAACTTAGATTACAAGCTCCTTTCATCTTCGATGTTTTTTTTTTTTTGCTTCATCTTTTTCTCTTCTCTCCATCACCGTCATCTTTTTCTTCGCTCTTTTTCTAGCTTTAGCTTTTGTTGGTTGGTTCGAGGAACAAAAGTTGCATTTTTCCGGACAGCTGGATCTCTCGATAATGCGATTACAAAACCAAAAGTCAAGAAAACCAAACGGGAGGCGATAGATGCAAAAGTTCGGACCGTTTTCAAATGCGATCAGAGAATAATTCGAAGTCGTCGTTTTGTAATTTGTAAAAAATGGAAATGAATGATAGTTACCTGATTTGACGGAGCAATGTATGTGCGCCCTGCTCTCGTAATAGACCCAATCGAAACCGGCCTCCACCGCTAACCTGGCCAACATCCCGTACTTGGATCTGTCCCTGTCCGAGGTGGTGATGTCCACGGCACGACCCTCGTAATGCAACGAGTCTGTGGCGTGGTGGCCCTCTTCATCCCATCCTTCGGTCACCCGCAGCCTGACTCCCGGCCACTGGTTCATCACAGATATGGCGAGGGTGTTCAGCTTCTCTTTGCACCTCTATAAAGAATGGACAAAAAACAAAACGGTTAGTATATATATTTAACTTTGTTGGGCAAGAAGGAAATACGGAAAGGCGGTTCGCAATTTTTCACGGCGACTCTTTGTCAAAATATTTTGAAGGGACCACCGCTGTTGGCAGTCAGTCAAGAGCAGGTCCGGAAAGGAGACGATGGATGAATCGATTTCACGTGCGTCACTCAGATAAAACCAAAGGAGAACAAGGAAACGAGAATGTGAAAAGATTGGGGATTTCTTTTTTGGGATGGAAATGCGGGAATGGGAAAACGCAATTTCGCACGGGCCACGGCCCTTCATTGTCCGAGCTTTTAGCTAGCTAGCAACAGGAGCTTGCCATTATCCACGCAGTCCGCTCCTGGATAAACAAACAGTCCCATGACACGACGCGATTAGATGCAGTTTGGCAAAATACAAACAAACAAACAGAACAACACGAATAGAAGCAAACAAAAGTCGAATGTGGAATTTCGGGAATTTCGTTTTGTTTTCCTTCTGACATCGATTCGATTCTTTCGCTCCTCTTGTCTTCTGTGTGTGTGTGTTGGTCTTTTTGTTTGGTGAAGGTGGTGTAAGGTGTAAGGCATCCGAGCGTGGATTGAGGAGCGTTGACAGGAGACTCCACTTCTTGTCCGATCGCGGATTAAGTTACTCTTGGGGTCGGCTGATCCACCGATGCGACGGGACTTACTCATGCAACCATGCACCTTTCAACTCGGATCACCGTCACCCGATGAATGGGAGGAACACGCACATGAAGAAGTAAGGAAGAATATGATGATGATGATGATGAGGACACGCGCAATAAATAATAATAAAATTAAACGACGGCGAGGGACGGACGTGGGGGATGAAGAAGGATGACTACTACTTGTGTTCTTCATTCCAATCTTTTTCTTCTCCTCCACTTGTTCGTGTTCTTTATTTTTTTTTCATACACACACATTTTTTTTATTTATTTTTATTTTTTTGATGGGAAGATGAAAGCGAGGTGTGAATGAGTCTTTTGGCTCTCACAAAAGTTTTTAAGACAATATTTACAGAGGTTTTCCATTTACTAAGTCAACTCAGCTCGAACAGTTGTTGAGTGCGTGTGTGACTTCGACTTTACACACCGGTCGCGTTACCTTCTTTCAAGAGTCACATACCTTTTGTTTTATTTATTTATTTATTTTTTTGACAGCTAAAATTTGCATCTCGATTCTTATACATTCATTTCTACCATAATCTTATTCATTTTTTTTTAATCATTCCAATCGTCTTTTATGCGAAGAACAAAAAGTTTTTTTTTTCCCCCTATCTTGTCACTAATAATTTACGGTTCTCGGTCACAGTCTGATGGCCATTATTCACCCTCAGCAATTACCTCATCTTTTTTTCATCCAAATACGCAAGGTCGATTCACCATGATATATTTCTGTTGAGATAAATACAAATACCAAGAAAATGCACTTATTTCCTTTTTTCTTATTTATTTTTTTGTTTCTAATCTTGTAACGTCTCAAAACAGTTGTAGATAGTTACTTAGAAGTTTATTAATTGTTTTTCATAATGGAAAGTTTTCATAATATTAGATTCAAGCTTCTGATAGTCTCATTCAATTTTACTTTAAAACACGTGTTTAATGGTTACTCAAATGTTTACAAAATTGTTTAGATCTAAGAGCCCTCTTCCGTGTGGCGTAGATTCGTTTTGTTTAAATCCGAGTTAAAATTGGCATTCTTAAATTAGAAAAGTGTATTGCGTAATCTGGTTATTACGAAACTGAGTTAATTTGTGATTTCTGTTTTACTAAATCGATGAAAATTGATTTTGATTTTGAAAAAAGATTAATTTAGTTTTTTTCTTCTTCCATTGCTTTCTTTTATTTTTTTTCTGCGTTCGTTTATGGCGATGGTAGAAGACGAATAAGAGGATGGGGGGCGTCAGAAGGAGAGGACGGCGAAGAACAAGGGGAACAGAAAAAAAAAATGCACGTACGGGAATAACACAAAAAAAAAGAGGAGTACGTTGGGGCATTGGGCGGGCGTTCGGTTCTTTTCCTCCGCCTACCGGAGCCATCGCGGCCGAAGATCTTTCTTCTCAAATCTCTCTCCATATACATATATATATATATAATGTATATGTATGTATAAAATGTTGTAGATAGATTCGGATGTTTGTGTGTGTGTGTGTGTGAGAAGCTCGGTTTATATGCATGTTGAGAATGCATTTTTATATATAAGCATCATCGGCATCAATTATATATTAGATTCGAAGAATGGGAAGCGAAAAACCGAAAAGTTTCTTCGGCTCGTCGTGAGTCGTCTTCTCGTCTTCTGTTCTTTGCTCCCTCGGAAAAGAATTCCTCGCGGCTCGAGGAGACGACCTTCGTGTGTGTGCATGTGTGTGTATGAGTGTGCGGGGCTTCGTGTACGAGAGAAAAGAAATTTTGTTGTGGTCGTAGCCTCGGGTGTCTCGGGGCTGGTTTCGGAATCATTTTCTCTCCTCCGTCCAATTATTCATTGGCGTTGCGGCCTTTAAAACGCTCGCGATCCTCGTTTGCCGCCGGCAAATTGATGGCCTCACATCATTGGCCCTCTCTCCGCAGCTCTTTTTCCCCAGCTCTCTTTCAATCAGATACAAAACATGTACATGCATGCATGCATGCATGCATATATATATACAGATACAAACACACACATGAACACGCACGAGGCACCTCGAAAACGCGATCATCCGCGAGATGATCGGAATCGATGAAGCGCTGGACATGATGATGGTGATTATGTTGATGATGGTGATGGTGGTAGTAGTAGTTGCTAAGCGACAATTCCCAAAAGGTGTCCCATGACGACGATTAATCTTGCGGACGAATAGCTCCCGTGAGTGCTGTAACGCGTTGCTCTCCACAATTGAATGGACAACAAACAAACAAAACAGCAACAATATGCATATGCATTCAAATGTTTAAGAGTCGAGAATGAGAAGCGACCAACAGCAACAAACAAACGAAAAACGAAAGAAAGACGCAGAGGGTGGAGAGAAGAAGACGGAGACGGAGAGAATGCGCCCTTAATGATATTTTATTATTTAAGAACCTTGACGGAGGTTTTGACGTGAATGCCAAAACTGTGGCTTTTGTTTACACAATGACCGCGGCCGCCTTTAAAGCCTTAACCATAATTTACGGCCATGAGAAAGAGCCACGAGAGAAGAGGCCTCGCTCTTCATTCTCTCCTCTCCATTTGCGCGCTCGCACACAAACGCACGCATGCATCATACATCATCATGTTGTGCTGCCATGTCGATGTGTGATGGCACTTTTCGTCTCTCTTCTTTTTTTCTTTTTGTTGTTGTTGTTGTACCGGAAGAAAATGTTGGCCTTGGAAAATCGCACGGGGTGGGCGCACACACACACACACGTCAACAACAATCAGAAAGGGCTGGTGTTGTTGTCTACTCCACCACCTCGCAAATGGAAACAGCAACAAGAGCAACAAAGGCAAACACCGAGAGAACCTATGTACACACATTTCCATTAGGGCACTGCGTCCCACCCTCTTCCCGTCCAGTTTCTTCTTCACACAAACATTGGAAAACGTTTTAGTGGGAAAGAGAGAGAGAAAAAAGGTAATATGAAAGGGCGCCGCCGCCGTCGTCGTCCATCTGCATCGCTCTTCCATTCTCTTGCACCATGTTGTCGTTCGATTAATAAATTTCGCCTTTCAAAATAAACACGGGGGGGCTTCTCCTCCTCCACCACCATCCACCATCACCTCCTCTTCTTTTCCGACCGACCGGACGAAAAATGAAAAGAGAGCAACGCATACAAAAGATATGAAGAGTAGATGATCGTTCTTCTCTTTCTCACATTCACCACCATCACCTCCTCTTCTACTTCTTCTTAGGCCGCAAGTCGACTGCGAAATTGCATCTCTGCCCCGAAGAAAACCACCCCATTTTATTTTTTTCTTCTTTTTGGACGGATACCTTCTTCTAATCCAATTAAAGTCAACGAACCTCCTACACCGGCCACCATTCAAAATCGCCGGACCCACAAACTCGAGAACACCTTTTTTTTTCCTTTCCAAAACAGAATTATTCATCGACTGAACATTATTTTCATTGTCGCTTTATTGCAATCTTGAGAACCCATCGTATTTAGTTTAAAATCACCACCTACTTACACTTCGTATAACAGGCAATTACCATTTTCAATGAAATGCGTTAATCTTAAAAAACTTTTATTTTAAAATTTCATATTTAGGCTAAAATCTGAGCTGAAGAAGTCGGACTGTGAAAAAAAGTACTGAATTTAGAAGAAAAACAAGGAGGTGATCGAAAGAACAAGAAGAAATCGTGGTAAATAATCGAAGGTCGAATAATTCCTTTAATTGATTTTTGTAGTCACGGTTACGATCTTCAACAAAAAAAATGTGTGTTTGTGTATGAATAAGAAAGAAAAAAACACACAACACACAACAACAGTTCACGGAGAAGAGAAGATCGAGGACCGACGATCTCGAGAGAAGGAGATTCTGTTTTGGGTTCATTCTTCGAGTCACTAACGCGTTAAGTACACAAACACGACGAAAGAAAATAAACACACACACAACACACACGGTCACAGGTGAATGTATATGACTGTATATATATATACGTATACACACTCATATATATATATATAAAGCCTATTATATCTAATATAAAAGTAACAAGGTGGCTGGTGGTGCCGGTGTGAGAAGGAGAAAGATAATGTGATGTAATATGATTATTATTGGGATCGCTCCTTCGAATCTTCTTCTTCTTCATCTTTCTGGTTATTTTTCATCGTCGTCGTCGTCGTTGTTTTTTTATTTGGCAGTAGCCAAATAATCCCCATCGGAGAAGAAGAGATTCCAGACAGCATTAAACTTAGCTCACCGCATAATCCGGATTTATAATTTACTACCTCTTCTTATCGTGTCGATGGTAGTGGTGTTGGTGGTGGTGGTGGGAAGAAGAGATGATGATGATGCGGTCGTTCGATTTTTTTTTTTTAACTTCTTCGACCAATTTGTCTAATTGACGATGGTTCCAAATGCGATCAGTGGCAACAAAAGGGGGCTTTATACGAGACTTAGGTTGCATTATGCTTAGACAAGACGAGACTAGACCATGAGAATGGTATGTAGGATAGACTAAAAGAATGTGTGAGTAGGTGATGCTCGTAATTCGCAATCATGAGAAGAGGTAACATTTCGTCGATCGTTTGCGTTAATATCGAATTATGGGGGCCTCCGTGTAATGATGATGATGATGATAATAATGCGCGCCCGAGCCCTACGTCTGTCGTCGTCGTGCACTTTGCATATGCACTCACATACATACATACACACACACTGCTCGACCCCTACCGACATGGGGCACCCATTGTTGTTGCCCTCTCTGTGCTGCCAATTCGAGAAAATTATTAATTCGCCTCGCTGAAATATTGCACACCATTGTTACGAACATGAAACAATAAATTCCATTCATATAAATAATAAGACGCCGAGGGAGAAACACTTCGCGGAAGATTGTCGCCGATGCAACAACGGCAAAACTAATCAAAGCTCTCCCCCCTTCTTACAAAACTATAATTAAACAACGGAATAATTGCATCACAGATATTTTCGTTTCTTTTCTGATAAACATAAATCATCTCGATCGATCGATTTAGTTTAAAATACGAGTCAAGGTTAACAGATTAGTTTACTCGATTACGCGACGTTTATTATTATTATTTTTTCATTGAAAGTTTTATTTTCGAATTCACGCTTTACTCCGATGATTTTCGATCTTTGATCCGATGCATCGTTCATCCCAGAATTAGCGATTTACACTCTATTTTTTTTTATCACTTTTTCCGTCAATAAAACTTTAGATCGATTGATTAATCTCGTCTTTACGATACAATCGACACACTCTAGTATCTAATCTAATTTTTTTTTGGAGCAAATTTTGTAAAGAAGACTCAATCTACGCAACGTTGTGCATTCCATCGAAGATTTATTACTCAATTGATAATTAATTGCTTATATTTTATTTAAATAGGTAAATGGTTTAGTTATTGCTTCCCGTATTCAAATAGTTGTTGTTGTGGTTGATATATCGATTCGAATTGTAAGAGTTTCGATTGATGGAAGTTTTGCTTGTAATTATGTTTTGCCGGACGTGTGGGAACTTGCTGTGATTGAATCGTGTGCGTTATGGTCGAAGCTGTAGAATGGTTATTGGTATTGGGAAGAAGGAATGAGCAATTTCCTGCTTTCGCGAATGTCGCACGAAACGAAACGCGCTTTTACGAGTGTAATCTCCGAAAGGAGGAGAAGAAATGTGGAAATCGATTCTGCGTTTACTACACGCACCATTTCTAAAGAGAAAATGTGATTTATGGAATGCAAATTGGAGATGTAAACAATTCGTGTCAAGAAGTGGTAGTTTTTTTTTTATGTGCGTGAGAAGATGTGAGAAGAAACGTTAATTGGTTTTGTTTTGGTTTTGTTTGTGCGTGTCCTTTGGAGCGCGTCAAATGTGACGACAAAGTGTGTGGTGTACGAGAGAGGCATAAGGTGGATGGATGTGAGGATGTGAGGATGGAATGGATGGTGATGATGCAGACTCGCTCGAAGCTTTAAGAAGGTTACCTTCCAGGTGTAAAGCAGTAAAATCGCGATCCTTATTAGACCGAGAGCTTTATTTGAAACGGAGAATGTGCATTAAGCACGTTAACTGCTCGCAGCGCCTACTTAATGCTCACCACACTTTACTTCTTCATATATCAATTACATGCCACGTTAAAAGTTGCTCGCGCAAACGGCATTGCTGCCTGCTTTCGTCGTCTCTCTTGCCATTCCGAAATGCAAAGGCGAAGAGATCGAATGCGGAGAGGAATGAAGGAAAGAAGTTGAAGAAGCAGCAGCAGCAGCCAAAGAAGTCCTAGTCGTCGCGCCGAGAGACGCTGGGGATATTATTTAAATCCTCCAGGAAAGATAAAAGGGGATATATAAATGGTAATGGGACGACAGCACGCGCCCCTTTGAGACCACGTCTTTCGCCGAGCATCCGCGGAGTCTCGTTCCTCTTGTGGTAGGTCGGCATTCCATGACCAAAGACGAGTGGAAAGAGCATCAGTTTATTTATCGATTCCGTTGAATTTTGCGCGCACCAAACTATTCCGCAATTGTGCAAAAGTTCCACATCATCTCTCCATCTCCTTTACAGAATCTCTCGCTGCATCATCCATCCATCCCAATATAATACTGATGCTGCTGTTGCTTGTATTCAGTTCATTTTCGATGATTTATGGTCAAGAAAACGAAAGTCGTATTCTCTTGGGGGTACAGTAAAATCATTTCGCTACCGTATCTCTCTATACGCAATAAACTATTCTTGCTCAAAGGACCCCACAACTGCTGTTTTCGCTACTACAATTACGAACGTTTTGCTTCCTCTTTGCTACACTACTTAGTGCGTAGCCGTAAAATCCGGAAAGCGTAGCGAAAATAAACAAAAAGCGAAGAGAGAAAAAATGGCGCGCCATAAATCCTCTTTATCCACGGACGTCCCCAATAAATAAACCGATACTACTAAAAGCAGAAAAGAGCAAAAGTCTTCCGATCTCACCTTTTCTATTGCTGCTCGCATTTGTATACAAATATTTTGGTAAAGAGCAATCGATTCTCCACACCATCCCCCCGGGTGCTTCTAGAAATTCACTGTTCACTGTGTTTGTAAACATTTTTACAGTTCGCCATGATTGCAATTACATCAACAAACATCATTTACTCATAAAATATCTTTTTCGAACATACAACAAACACTTTACAAAGAATTTGAAGATTTTTTTTTCCCGAATTCTCTGATTCATCGTTGCATCTGTTTACGTAATTCAAGCCGTGACCCGATTCTTGTCAACAGATAACGCACGGCGATCATCTTTGATTGCGAAAATGTGAAACAATGCAATAAAGTTCGATGCGCGAGACGCGAAACCCGACACTGTAAGTCCCTTTTTCTTATCGAGAGCAGAAACGCTAAATATAATTAATGGTATTTCTCTCCTCTTCTCTTCTCTTTGTTTCGAGGCGAATAATAATTAGTTTTAGCGTCGACAGCGTTTTCTGCCGTCGGCGATTATTCAAAATAATAAACTTTGCGACTCCCTAGAAATCGGACCATAGACAAAACATAGGCGATTAATTAACAACTCTGTGAAAAGGAGACGACGACGATTTAGATGATCATTACGACGACGATGATGATGATGTATGTGTTGATGGGTCAACGACTCAAAACGCTCTCGCATTGTTTTATCAATCCATCACGTCGCATCGATAACGAAAATATTTAGTCTATAATCGAGCGATTGTTATTTCCGATACTAAAATTAAATTACAACCTGAAACAATACAACGCTCCAATACTCTCCAATTTCATAATCGCGCATTAATTCCAATTAATTTCATAATAAATCAATCAATCAATAATTTCAATTTTATTTTTTCGATTAATTGAAATATTCATAAACTTCGCATCGTATAAAATTGGAAAACACTTTGAAAAAGAAAACTTCTCCTTAAAAAAAAAACCCTAAGTTTAAAGTCTGAATGTGTAACGTAAAATCGATTGCTAATGGCAAAGCTTATGCGACCAGACGGAACGCAGACATTCAAGGAGAAAGAAAGATAATTATCAATTTGCATATTGAAATGGTTTTGCGAGATGTAGTAGAGAGAAGTAGTCGTAGTAGTAGTAGTAAATTATAATAATAATTATTATTATAAAAAAAAAACTAACAAAGTTTTGTTTTAAATTCTAACACTGAAACTGAAAATATGATAAATAATCTCGTATTTCATAATGCGTGAGTGTTTATTTTAGTGCAACTTGTTTGCACGTAATGTTAACATCGTTCGTAACAGTTAAATATATTTTCTTACTTTACTTTCCGTTTAATATTTTGATTTTCTTTATTTGAAATTTTACGAATATTTTAAACTTTATTTTTAATTGTTGCAGCGAAAGCGTAGTTTAAAATGTTAAGCGTATATGTTTGCATGTAATGTTAGATTTTCAGGGGAAAAAAATAGAAAAATTGTTGTTATTTTAAAGTTTCACTGTTTTGTGATTTATGTTACAATTGTATAAGTGTAATGTTTGTCTGAAATTTTTAGTAAAATTCAAACAAATTATTGTTATATGTTATAGGTGGTATTGAAGGATTGAAAATTTCCTGTTGGAAATGAGAGGAAGAGAGCGAGAACATACGATCCGCTCCCACGCAGCTTCGTTTTCTGCGTTTTTGAAGGGTTTCGCCGTCTTCCTGTTCTCGAAAAGTTCGTGCCGAGGGAAAGACGACGAAAGGGAAAGCGAAATATGCGGCTTAACGGAAGAGGTGAGGTTTACGTTTGAAAGATGATGATGATGATGACGATGATGTAGATGATAATAATAACAAGTGAAATGTGAAAAAGTAAACACAGGTGTAAAGTAAGAGACGTGAGTTTCGCACGGAAACGAGGCAGTGGTGTGTTGTTTTAGGGTCGGATTTCCTTCTCTTACCTGAGTCATTAGTCTGTCGGCGCCGGTACCCTCCTCGTCCTTGAAGATGATGTCCTCGTTGTAGTTGGGCACCAGGTCACGGAATCGTTTGTCGTCGCGACCGATGCGACCCTCGGTGAGGCCGCTCGCCGTCAGCGTGTTCTCCGACACATTTGGTACGTGCTGCTTGAAGACGAGCGGCGTCAACTTGCGAGGCCCGCGTCTGCGGCCCGCGCCCCTTCCTGGCCCGCAGCCCTCTGCACCGACGGCGAGTGCGACGACAATCGCGCACCACCAACACCACCTCATCGCTGTACTCGTCGTCATCGTCGTCGTCGATGTAGTCGTTGTCAGCGTCGTCGTTAGTAGCATCGTCATCTTCTCCTCCGGCTGCTGGTATCCACCCTGCACATCACTTAGGCCCGAACACCAAAGAAAATTTAAAATTTAAAAAATAATCGGCACACCACCACCAACGTCACTGCTGCTGCACCACTGCATCCAACGAATCGTTCGCACTCTGTTTCACCGGCGTCCCTATCTGGGGTTTGCCCTCTTCAGCGAGCGAGCGCGCGCCTATTCTGAGCAAGAGGAATGACAACTACGACAACTACCGGCAGCATCAGGTGGTCGACCAGGGTGACTGTCTCTCAGTCAGTCAGTCAGTCAGTCCTCAGGCTCGCTGCTGCACTTGTCATAGGTAAGTGAAATCACGAAACTGATGATGATGACGATGGCCCCACTCGCAGTCGGCCGGCAGCTCACTCTCCTTCTCCCACTCGTCCGCCCTCGTCCATCTTCTTGCTCTCTCGCACTCCGCTGAAAAACGGCCCTGGCCATCTTCCTCCTCGCCGCCCCGGCCGCCCATTGGCCGACGGGCGGGGCCCACGTGCTCTCGCACAGGACAGGTGAAAAACGCCGACCGCCGGATGATACGGGCACCTTTCCTCTTCTTCTGCCTCCTCCACTTCTTCACTTATACTCTTTTTCGACTTCGCTCCTCCACCTAACAACCATCCGTCAAGCTATCTATTCATCTACCTGTGGCAGCATCCACATTCGCGAAAACACCGAAATTTGCAGCACACAACAGGTTCAATCATTCAACAACAACAATAATAATAATACAGTCGTTCCTTTTGATTTTCGGACTTTAACGCTGTCGTTCAGCCGACGCGACCGACCTAAAAACTACTAATCCACGACGAGCCGCCTGCCTCGTCCAGTGCGATCGAATCGAAGTAGACATTGCTCTCCCCCCAGCCAAACAACAAATCCGAAACAATCGAAACCGTGTTATCTCTTTGTTGTCCAATCGTTTGACATTCACCCAATTCTGTTTTCTCTGCAAGATTAAGTCCAAGTCTACATGCGCTTCATAATATTCCATTCCATCCACACATATCAAACATTTCCTACCTACTAAATCAATTATATAAATCCTGTACAATTAACAACGATTATTAACGTGCAATTAAAGCAATATTTACATCTTTTTTTTTATTATATCTATGACTCAACTAGACAATTGTCGATTTCAAAATAAATCATAAAAAACCATATCGTAAAACAATAGTTATGAAATGCAATAGTTTCTTATCAACGCCACTGACTAATACGTATACACAGTGTATAAACTATGAAGCAACAATTTTTATGATATTCCATGAAAACCCACTGTTTAGATTCACTTGGAAATTCATAACAAACTATTGAGGAAATTCAACCAACTTTCACTGACTATAATACTCATGCATACGCTATAAACTGTGAGTCAACTGTATAAAAATGTAGATGTATAAGGATATCCTAGAAAAGCTCAATAAAAATCGACGATTAAGAAAATGCTATAAAATGTAGTTATGTAATAATTATAGGAAAACTTAATGAACGCATGCACTCTATATATATAAATGTAAAACGATGAGCATATGTTGAGAAACGTTTTTGACAAATATTATTATTGATTTATTAGTACTATTGTTAATTTAGTCATATTTTTCAATTAATGCATGAGTGCGAAATTTCGCAATCGTTTAACGCTTCTCTTATGATGAATGTGATACAAGGATAATATTAGACTTAAACAAATCGCGTTAATTTCGTCCCAGTTTGGTATTATTTTCAAAATGTCTGGAAAGCATACGCATAAGCTATATAAGTTTTTAATGAAGCTAATCCTCGTTCATTTATTGGCATGCTCTAAATATTAATTACTAATGTTCAATGAAAACTAATCACTTTAAGTTATTACTAATATCATTAATTAACAATAATTGTCCACTCACATTTGCACTCTCGGATTGATTGATTAACAGCAGCATGTAAATCGCGCTCTTCGATTGAGCGTTAAAGCAAATTCCTTAAATCGATCGAATTACGGACAATTTCACAATATTAATTTTGTTATTTAAATTTGCCGCGTCGATAAGTTAAATGAGCGATTGTTGTATATGCGAATAAGTAGGGGACAATAATAACAAAAAGAGTAAATGTGAGAAAGAAAGAAACAAACGAGCAAAGATGAGGAGGCATCTTCGCATCTGACATTTGCTATTGTACATTTGCAAGGCTGTTGGGATTAGTAAGTCCCGAGATGTGGAGATGTCGTAACGGCGGTAGTTAAATCCATTGATTTCTTTTTCCTCCTGCAAACGCGATTATGCAAGGCGAACAACGCGCGTAAACTCATCGCCAATTACAGTTGTAATTAATTAATTAATAGTGGCGCTAATTGCATTTGCGTAATGTCTGCATGTGTGCATCTGCGTGTATGTGTTCCGCTGTCGACAATACCTTTTATTGCGAATATTTCCAAATGCTGCAACACATTGAAGAATTTAATAGTTTTCAATATCCAATAAATATTTCAGTTTTATTTTAGAATTGATTCAAACTATCTTTATTATTTATTTAATAATAATTACTAATAACAGAAGAGTCATAATAACAGCTTGTTATTACGCGCGTTTTAATAACTAACTGTAAAATCGTAAATTTGATTTACAATCTTCTGCATAAGATAATGGCAGATTCCGGTTATTTTTTTAATGCGCGGATGGCATTTCGCAAAGTTTCTACGCAATTTGCGCAATTTTTAATCCTCTCCAACGAAACGAATTGATTACGGAACTTAACAATTGTTACGTCGCGTTGCACCATGTTTTCGACTGCAGCATTCCCATTATCTTCGACTGTTTATCGCTGAGCGATACGCGACTATTAAGCAAACAAATCATTTGCTGTTGCTGCTGCTGCTGGTGCTGTTTTCTTGGTTACCAAGACGACGATTGTCGTGTTACCGTGGCAATGTGAAACGTGGCTCTTGCTTCCTCGAACGACCTCTGAACCTGATAAATCTGTTAACAATTTGTTTGCAGAGCATCATCTTATCGTTCGATCCCTTTGCCCATTGGCGCCTCTCCTAGCTTGAACAATTTAGTTGATTACGTTTGTTCTGTTTGCTTGTTGATCTGATTGAACCCTTTCTAAAAACCTGAAAATAATATATTTGACGATCGGCTCGCAGTGGCTCCAACTATTAGCATACGTACGTAAATGCTTGGATAAGTGATTTAGCGAACATGTTTACAGTCTGGACTATTGTTTGTACAATACAATATTTAAATCCAAATGATTACGACATAATGACTTACGAATTCGTTAATTTATGAAATTATCACTGTCTTTTTGGTAAATTAATTAATTACACAATAATTAATTATTCTAGTTTTTGTTTTTTTTTAATGACTTGCAATGACATCTGTCAAATCTATATGTTATGTTGAAGGGAGTGGAGGTTTAATAAAAGAAGAAGATATGTTATGTTATTCTAAATGCATAAGCAAAAAAAAAATTGGTTTATTTAGTATACGTTCGATCATCCTAAATCCCCATGTTCGCTGACTCGTTTATCTATATCTATACATGTGCTGAAACTAATTGGATCATTCTGTATGAACAGCCATTGAAAGCTGACGTACGTCAATGGAATCATGACCTACTAATGGATAAATATTGGAATGGTTTTATTATTTTCGGAGAAAACAATGGA